GGGACTCTCCTGCCTGCTGAAATCGTTGCCAAGTTTGCCCAAGACTTCAGAATGCAAAATACTCCGAAAGCAACCAGAAACTCCCTGGAAATGCGAGAGGCTGGATTATCTATTTGCTGATCACCGGCACCTTTTTAAGGAAACGCTCCGGGTGTTTTTAAGGAATACAAGTGTAAAAGAAGTTTAGGATACTCGGTAAAATGCCTGAGCACTCAACGCTCTCCACGATGTTCGCTCTGCCGCTCCTCTTCTCCTGCCTGTGTCCCAGCAGGGACTGGTTTTGGTCTGGACACCCGTGCACACCCACGTATGCCTGTGCACGCCCATGCACAACCATGCATGCCTATGTACACCCGTGTGCAACCATGCACCCCCATGCGTACCCATACACCCCCGTGCACCCCCATGTGCACCCATGCGCCCCCGTGCATGCCCATGCACACCAGCGCATGCACAGACACACCCATGCACGCCCATGCACACCTATACACACCCATGCATGCCCATGGACAACCATGCACACCCATGCACACCTGTACACACCCATGCATGCCCATGGACAACCATGCACGCCCATGCACACCCGTATGCGCCCATGCATGCCCATGAGCAACCATGGACACCCACACAAACCCACGGACACCCATGCACCCCCATGCATGCCCATGGACAGCCATGCACCCCCGTACACACCCATGTACACCCATGCAGAACCATGCACACCCATACACACTCGTGTACACCCATACACACCTATGGACACCAATACACACCCATGCATCCCCATGCATGCCCATGTCCAACCATGCATGCCCATACACACCCACGCACACCCAGGGACGCCAATACTTACCCATACACCCCCCAACACACCCATTCACCCCCATGCACACCCATACACACCCATGCAGCCCCATGCACACCCATACACACCCATGCAGCCCCATGCACACCCATACACACCCATGCAGCCCCATGCACACCCATACACACCCATGCAGCCCCATGCACACCCATACACACCCATGCAGCCCCATGCACACCCATACACACCCATGCAGCCCCATGCACACCCATACACACCCATGCAGCCCCATGCACACCCATACACACCCATGCAGCCCCATGCACACCCATACACACCCATGCAGCCCCATGCACACCCATACACACCCATGCAGCCCCATGCACACCCATACACACCCATGCAGCCCCATGCACACCCATACACACCCATGCAGCCCCATGCACACCCATACACACCCATGCAGCCCCATGCACACCCATACACACCCATGCAGCCCCATGCACACCCATACACACCCATGCAGCCCCATGCACACCCATACACACCCATGCAGCCCCATGCACACCCATACACACCCATGCAGCCCCATGCACACCCATACACACCCATGCAGCCCCATGCACACCCATACACACCCATGCAGCCCCATGCACACCCATACACACCCATGCAGCCCCATGCACACCCATACACACCCATGCAGCCCCATGCACACCCATACACACCCATGCAGCCCCATGCACACCCATACACACCCATGCAGCCCCATGCACACCCATACACACCCATGCAGCCCCATGCACACCCATACACACCCATGCAGCCCCATGCACACCCATACACACCAGTACACCCCCATGCACACCCATACGCACCAATACACCCCCATGCGCCCCCAGGGCTGCGTGAGCGCGCTGCAGCGCTCCTCGCCGAGCGGGAGGAGAGGGCAGGAGGGCCGGGCGCTCGCCGCCGTGGGGAGCTGGGGGGGCCATCTCCACGCCGAGCCCCTCCAGGCTGGGCCGGACAGCAAAGCCGGACCCCTCCAGCTCATCCCGAAGCGCGCAGCAGCCATGCATCCCGCAGCCATGCATCCAGCCGAGAGAGCGCAGGCTCCATCACCACCGGCAGGAGGGACCGGGGGCTTAAATATACCCCGCTAGCAGCTCGGTGCGCTCGCAAGAATCCCACCGCACTCGCACCGAGTCTCCATTTACAAGACGTGGCACAAAAAGCCCCTGAACCGTACACCCGTGCGTGGGGTTCCTGCTCGCCGGGCGGCCCGGGTGGCTCTGAGCGGTGCCCGGGACGGAGCTGAGCGTGGGGAAGGTTTCCAGGGAACACGTCTGGTAAGAACGCCGGTAACATCAGCACGTCAAAAGGCAAAGGGACCGCCTGGCTGCGCATTACCGACCCAAAAGCTGTAAAATAGCAACAGCAAGCGTTGACAAGGGGTTTTTTTTAAGATTCAAAATTCACAAAGCTCCTGTAAATGTTAACCTATACGTAATAGCCCATCTGGAGTTATCCACTTGATTGTTCTGAAATCACTTTTTGCAGTAGAACTGCTAGACCTGGAGATTATAATCTTTCTTTCAAGTTTTGCTAGGTGCGCTGTATGCGTTTGGGTTGCACAAATGGATGGATTTTGTCGTTTGGTCCCGGATACCCTCAAACCAACACATTTGTGTGCTGTACTCGTTTCCTTTCCAGAGATCCATCGCTTAAATTTACCCAGTAGCAGTTACCTTGCAAGGTGGAGCAGGATTATTCTTTAGAAGCAGCAAACCGTTTCCAAGCCAGAAAAGTGACTTTTACATGTAAGCGAGTCTAAAATTAGTGATTGCTGCCTGTGCAGGAAGGAAATTGTAAAAGAACAGCCACATACTACCAGCAGCCCAAACGTGCGATGAGGAAGGTATTTTTTTCAATGTCCACATCCTGAGACTTGCACTGCCGCTATCGCCTGAACTACTGAACCCCGTGGGTGAAAATGCTCGTCTCGTCAGGCAAACGAGGCTGAAAACCCCATCGTGCATCTCAGGTACCCGCTGGTTGCATTTCCAGCCCTGCGAACTCACTCCAGGATGGAGACCTGCAAATAGATCTTTGGCATCTCCTCTTCAGCAGCTCTCAGCCCGCAGCGCCGCAGGGGTGAAACGTCGCCCTGCTCCCACCGTGCACGCGTACTCTCACTGATTTCTTGGGTGGTGCCAAGGGAAATATTTCCCCTTTACACTGGTGCATGGATACATCTAGTAAATATGGACTGGTTACCAGGAAAATGGAAGAAGAAGAAGGGCACAAATATTTACATGCCAACTGAACTATTCTACTCTACTCTACTCTACTCTGCTCTACTCTACTCTATTCTATTCTATTCTATTCTATTCTATTCTATTTTATTCTATTCTATTCCATTCCATTCCCTTCCATTCCATTCCATTCCATTCTATTCCCTTCCATTCCATTCCATTCTAATATACAATACAGTTCCCCTCTCCCTCCCTTCTAACCCATTTGGACGGTGTCTGTACCTACCAACAGTTTACGAGGTGACAGGCTTGGTCTGGTGATGTTCACCTCTGGCAATGAATGCGTCGGTGGGTAAATCGACCGGGGCGTGAAGAAATTTTGATATAGCCCAATATCCCAACAGCACATCGTGTCCTCACTTTCATATTTTCCCTTGTCAGATGTGTTCTGCTGTTTATCTTTGCCTACTCTGCCCTCAGAAAGCCCTTTGCATCCTGCCTGGACCTTCTTTCCACCCAGTGGGGTATTCAGGAACGTAAACCAGCGAGCTGGGTGATGGGAATTGAACTATAGGCGTGCAAACCCAGCACCGAGATCCTCATATGAGCAACACGGATGGCCTTTTTTTGAATCAAATCATGGCGTATTTTTATTCCCACCCTCCCTCAAACATTGCATACTCTCTAATTCTTGACACTAGTATTTTCTAAGCTTTTCCTAAGTTTGGTTGCGTTCTTGGCAGCCGTATCTTGTGCCGGCAATTTCCACGGGTTATTTATCGGTTTGGCGATGAGTTTCATGGGTTGTTCAGCTTCATTGCAACGTGCGGTTATGTACCTTGGAGGTACGCAAAGGAAGTATACGCTGAGTAATGTCTCTACCCACAGACAGCATGCACCAAAAAGCATTGATGTCCCATGGAACTCCCACTCCACCTGCGCAAGGGTGCAAACTCAACCATGTGTTGTCCCACGCGAGTGAAAGCTGGATGCAATTATTTTATGACGAGACATTGTCTTTTCGTGCCGAATGAGTAACGTGGAGAAAGCGGCTGCTGTCAAAGTTATAGTGTGGGGGATCTTTGCACAAGGCAGGCTTGTTTGGTGTGCAGAAGTGGTGGCCCCGTGTGCCTCGATGTAAAGGAGTGGTGACTCCGTGTCCCTTGATGTAAAGGAGTGGTGACCCCATGTCCCTTGATGTAAAGGGGTGGTGACGCCATGTCCCTTGAGCTTGGTGTCCCTGTCCCCCAGACAGACCCAGCCCGAGGCCCGCGGAGATGTCCCCACCAGCCTGAGGAAGAGCTCAGCGCTGGTGCGAGCCGGCAGCTGCCCACTCATCTACGTGTAATGTCGTTAAATGGCAAAGCAGAGAGCTCGCGACCCGCAGGGACGCACCAGGACGCTGTGTCCCATTGCCATTCGCGGGTCTAACACAACCACGGCAAAAAGAATCTTTTTTATACAAATGGATGGAGAGAAGAAACTAAACAGAAATGAGAAATTGGGCGTAGTCTCTTTGGGAGGCTTAAAAATTCATTAAATGAAACGCATAATAAATACATAATAAATAAACTGAACACACAAGGAATTATACATTAAATATGCATCGGTAGCTACAATTTTTAATCCCTTATGCTGCTGCTCTGCTGCCGTGACCACGCTTTCTGCAGGAGGACACAGAATTAATTCCAGTTTCGTGTTCGAAGCAGAGGAGAGCTGGGTTTAAGTCTTGGCTTAGTCACGGACCGGCTCCATGACCTCCACCAGGTTTCTCATCCGCAAAGTCTGGGTAGGAACAATCACCACCTCTGGTAAAGCCTCAGGATCTAAAGTCCGAAAGCACCATATGGCGTTTGGTAACGGGAATGGTACAAGAATATGAAGATAATAGAAATGTTTTCTGAGCAATCTTGCGCTGCTCGTTTTTATTCTGCGTGTGGATTGCCAGAGGGCTCCACGCTGAAAGGTTTGGAAGTATTTGGTTGTCGGCAGATTGGGGAAGAGATTTAGTGGCAGATAAATATGCTGCAGAGGCTAAAATTGGATTAAAAGCGTTAACGTGTCGCAAAGCTAAATAACACGCGGAGACAAAAGATCAAAGCCCAGGTTGTGACCAACACTTGCGAGCAGCGCTGCAAATAAATGCCTGGATCAGCAAAAGCCTTCTGAAAATGCGGTGATGGAAAAATGGCAGCAGACGAGACAGCCACATGACAAAAGTAGGAATATTCATTAAAAAATGTGCTATTTGGTACAGCCTCCTACATTCCTTAGCCTTCAGGAGGATTAATTCTTTAAGAGGGAAGGTGAGGAGCTATTGACGGGGTAGAAGGGCTGAGCACAACGGCAGCGACCAAAACCAAACCTGCGTTTCGTAGAAGAGGATGTGAGCAGCGAGGCTGTGGTTTGTGTCACAACTGGCTTCACTGAGTGTCGGCTTCACAGAGTCAAATCCCATGAAAACATCACTTGTGAAGCACCAGGAGTAGGGTTTGGGCAGAAGAGCAAAGCAGGCACTGAACACAATGAGTAGAAAACAAACAATGAGTAGAAAACAAACTATAGAAGTGATGTCGTAAAGGAGATTTCAGGATTGCAGCTCACCAAACCAGCCGAGTCTTTCTTTAAGAGAGAGGAATTAATCTTGCCACAAGAATATTAGAAAAACTCACAATTCTTAACCTCTTCAAGGCTGCATGGTGACGATGTGCGATTTTCTAGAATGGTGTGGTTGGACTGACGCTCTCCCCGGGAATTCGGCCTTCCTTGGCTTGGTTGTGCACTCAAGAGGAGGCAATGTGATTGCATTTACCGAACTAAGTCACCGATTCCATCCTGCTGGGTCAAGGCAAATTCAACGGGAATCCCGGCACACACAGCGGCTGTTACGCTCATGGAGACAGCGTACAGACTACAGCAATATCGAAGGCAGACTAATGCGCACCCTGGGCTTGTGCAAAGCATTCAGCACTGTCCCACACGACATCCTTGCCTCTCAATTGGAGAGACGTGGATTTGACAGATGAACCACTTGAGGATAAGGAACCGGTTGGATGGTCACACTCCAAGAGTTGTGGTCAATGGCTCGATGTCCAAGTGGTGACCCTGTGACAAGTGCTGTTCCTCAGGGTTTGGTACTGGGACCGGTGCTATTTAACATCTTTGTTGGCAACACGGATGGTGGGATTGGGCGCACCCTCAGCAAGTTTGACAATGGCACCAAGGTGTGTGGAGCGGTCGACACGCTGGAGGGGAGGTAAGCCATCCAGAGGGACCTGGACAGGCTGGAGAGGTGAGCCCTTGCCAACCTCATGAAGTTCAACAAGGCCAAGTGCAAGGTCCTACACGTGGACACGTGTCCGCCTCATCCCGGGCTGCATCCCCAGCAGCGTGGCCAGCAGGGCGAGCATGAACCTGTTGGAGCGAGTCCAGAGGAGGGCCACAAAGATGATCAGAGGGGTGGAGCACCTCTCCTATGACGACAGGCTGAGAGAGTTGGGGTTGTTCAGCCTGGAGAAGAGAAGGCTCCGGGGAGACCTTATAGCAGCCTCACAGTACCTAAAGGGGGCCTACAGGAAAGATGGGGAGGGACTCTTTATAAGGAAGTATAGCTATAGGAAGAGGGGTAACAGTTTTAAACTGAAAGAGTAGATATAGATATTAGGAAGAAATTCTCTACTCTGAGGGTGTTGAGATACAGTCACAAGTTGCCCAGGGAAGTTTTGGATGCCCCATCCCTGTAGGTGTTCAAGGCCAGGTTGGACGGTGCTTGGAGCAACCTGGGCTGGTGGGAGGTGGCCCTGCCCAGGGCAGGGGGGTGGCACTCGATGAACTTTAAGGTCCCTTCCAACCCAAACCATTCTATGATTCTATGCAGTCAATTATTGCCTAATCTATTGCTGTAGTAGTGACTTCAATATTACTATAGTGCCATGGACTAAAACTCCGCTGCCTGGGTTGCAAGGAGCAGAACATCTGAGCAGCTGAAAGACATGAAAGTATCTGAAGCTGTGGCAGCAAGAAAGGTAGAAGGAAATTTTCAAGCTCAGCTCCTGGAAGCAGAGCTGCGTGTGCTTGGGCTGTGGTTTGACATTCAGCAGCCTAAGCAGTTGTGTTCCTTCAACCACATCCAGTGGTCCCACCTCTTCCATGGCGCTGACACGAGTCACGGTCCTGCGCAGCAAATTGGAACGAAGAACTGATTGTAAATCCAAATAACAACATTTGGGTTTTTTTATTCCTATATTGAACACTGAATTAATGTTACTTTCTTTCAGCTTCCTAAGTGTTGAGATGGCTTTGGTGTTGGTGCTGCACACTGGATTGGTGACCGCAGTGGGCTGGTGTGCCCCGTGTTGGTGTTGCTGGCTCTGTCTGCTCCAGAAGTCCCTGTCCTCGGCCGTCCGTGGTGGCCTTGCTATTGAGAAGGCTCTTCCCTGCTGCCCTGGTTGTCAGCTGTTGAAAACAGCAGCTAAAGCTCAGCACCGAAGAACCAGAGACCTTCTTGTCCATCAGGAGAGTGGCTGATAATGGAGAGTTGGCAGCACTACAAAAAACCACAGACATAATATGAAATTTCAACAAAATGTGACCACTGCTTGATCAACCAAGATCAACCAGTGCTCATGGCTTGGCCGGAGACCTCTCATTTAGTGCAGAGCTGCTGTACAACCTTGCCTGTGTGGTCCTTGGTACAATCAGAACTAGAATCTAGATGACTCTTCTGGAACGTCATCACCAAAAAAAGTGAGAAACCAACAGATATTCAGAGAAATTAAAAAAAAAAAAGAGCAGGCTGGAAGGGGTGACCCTCCTGCGGGGTAAGAGATGCCAGCCTCAAAGCAGTCTGTGAACCTCTGAGGTCTTCAAGCAGGCAGAAAAAATATTTGGTGGGTTTTTTTTAATAATTGTTTGTCTTTGCTGACACCAGAAAATGGAATTATGCTGCACACAAAGTGAACACAAAAAATCATGGCACGCCTTTCAAAGAGCGGGGATGCAAACACCATGACAAAAGCCCTTCCTAAGCTGGACCAGACAACGTGGTAAAATAAAGAACTTCAGAGAATATTATGGAGGAAATACATTAAATAAACAAACACAGCTCCTTCCCGACTGACCACTGTCGGAGTTTTTGGATATACTCACATTCTCCTGCATGGGTTTTTAAGCACCCAATAATTATCTCCCGGTGCTCTGTCACTCATCATTTTGGTGCTGGTGACTCACCACCATTCCTTCACTTTTCTCCTTTCTCAAGGTTATTTCCAGACCTACAACCTGACAAAACCAGAGAGTGTAAGGGCTGCACCTGCTGATTTCACTTTTGAGTCTGAATTCTGTTTCCTCCAGTGATATTTTTCACGTTTGCACTTGCCCATTTCTGACTGGGCTCCAGCCTTCCCCCATCAGCAGCTTTAACTTTCTCTGATTCCTACTAAAATAGTTGGGAAAGGGGCAGCTTTGCACTCTTTGAAACATCTTACATTTTTTGATAGCCTCTTTTTTTTTTTTTTCTCCTTACGAAGCCAATGAACACAATGGCTGAATAAACCATTCTCAGTCTTGTGTTTTGGTTTGCTTCACTCTAGAAGTCTCCTTTTATGTGCATTTTTCATCCCAGGTAAAATATTTTGTCGTTCACTTCGAGGAGCTGAGCACGAATTGCCACAATAGCATACATTCAAATTTCACGACATCATTTGCACACGCTTTATTTGCACTGTCTCTGAGTCCATGTTCTTCACTCTTTTTCCTCAGCCCAGCATTCATCGTGTTATGAGGTGGCGTTGAAGCAGAAAGCATCTTGACCTCAATTCGTTGAGCGCCTCTACCGATGGACATTCCTTCCAGATTTGTCTCACTGGAAGCTCAGCAGAAATAAGGTGACGAAGCAACAGCAGGCACCAGTACCTCGTGTCCCTGCCTCCCTCGCCGTAACCACCATCATCTCCTCTTGGCAGCAAAGGTCTGCCAGGAGACAGGTCGTAACCTCCTCCCGCGGCAAGCTCCTCTCGAGGTAGCCAGTATTCCCTGAAGGGCGTGCTCAACAACCTGCCTTGGGTCTTGCCTTTACAGCTACGTGTTGGCGTACGCTCAGTTATCATATGGGCTTCCCCCCATGGCAACCAGTCTACTGGAGCAGCGGATCTTCTGCTCGCACCAGGCGGGTGCGGATCTTGGGCAGCTCAACTTGGCCTGAGGGGTACGGGATTATGCCACAACCACTAATAGGGTTTTGTCACAGCCTCCATCATTGCCCTCCGCTGCTTCGCTACGAGGGCTCCCGGGGACCTGTCCCCACCGTCACCACCGAGCATCACACCTCATGTCAACTGCTGCTGGTGCTTTCCCGAGCTTCGTTTTGAGAATCGCAGACACCCCCTCCTCTCAGAGAACTGATGAGTCCGTACTTTCCTTGACATCATCCCCTGCCTGGTGGAGCAGGGAGGTTGGCACCATGTCCTCTCAGCTCCGTTTGCAGCAGGACCTTCTGTTTCGGCTCTTCTGTTGCAGTCCAGCATGGGGCAGAGGTTCTGGTGAGACATCCGACTGCAGGGAACACACTGTTTTCTTTATGAGTCATAAGTACCACATGCTTTCTCCTGGAGCTTTGTGCTCAAGACAAGTCAGTGAAGAAAGAATCGTATGAAAAAGCCGATTTTGGTGCTAAAAATTAAGCAGAAAGAAAAGAAAAAACTGGAAAAGGGAAAAGGAGAAATAAAAGAAAAAAGGGAAAAGAAAAAAGGGAAAAGAAAAAAGAAAAAGAAAAAGAAAAAGAAAAAGAAAAAGAAAAAGAAAAAGAAAAAGAAAAAGAAAAAGAAAAAGAAAAAGAAAAAGAAAAAGAAAAAGAAAAAGAAAAAAGGAAAATAAAAGAAAAAAGGAAAATAAAAAGGAAAAAGAAAAAAGGAAAAAGAAGAAAAAATAAAAAAGAAAGAAGCTGCAATTTATGAGAGGTAATGGATCAGTGATTTTCAGTTTAGCTTCCTGTCACCACAACACAAGACTCCGGTCACTTGGGCCACCTGATGGGCATCTTCCCTTAAAGGTATTATTGATGAGTAAAACACCACTCAAGTTTCACCAACGCCGGTTTAGCACGTCATGTAATGGCTGCTGCCGTATTTTTTTTCCAAGGAGAAGTAAATACAGGCAGCGATGGGTAGCGATGAGTGGGGCTTGATAAGAAAGAGGAGATAAGATTCCATATAAACTCCTGCTTTAAATGTCTATGAATCCTGGTTTTAGATGAAGCCTGTGCTGGGAAACAGTACTGTGAAAAGTGAAAATGTAGTGTGAGCTAAAAGAAGACGGAGGGGAACCAAGCTACATACTTAAAAAGAAACTGTTGGTATTTGGAGTTTTGTAGGGAACGGGCTCGCACAGTTGACAGACGGTGTTTCAGTGAACTTTGTCAGCTCTCTAGAAAGAAGCACAAACCTTCCACTGGGTTTTGGAAGAGAGATGAGGTGGACTGGAGGTTCAAATGCAAAATTCTTGACTCTCGGAGGCTGCAAACGTTGTGTTTCCTCTACCCGTTGATTTGAATGTCTGCCTCCGAAATACCTGTGCTAGAAATGGAAAGAAAAAAAAAATATCGAATTTCAAATTTTCAAAATGTTTTGAATTAAAAAAAAAAAAAGAAATTTTCAAGCTAGAAAAAGTTAATCACATCAGGGAGATGCCATCAGGAAAACTGAGTTTATCTTATCAATGTCCAGAAAAGTGAAGGAACAATAGTAGCAAGAGACTTTTTCATTAAAAGCTCTTAAACATGGCGGTAGTTTGTAGGAGTGCTGAAAAAATGCAAGGGGAGTGGGGGGGGGGGGGCGGGGGAGAAAGCAAGAATCACATTAAAGAGAAGATAAAAAATCAGAGTGGATACATGTCGGGATGAGCCCCTCTCCCCCTCCCGAGGGTGGCAAAGGGGTTTGTTTTATTCTGATTGCACTTCTTGCTCTTTCCAGTTTAAGAGGTGTCGGGCAGGCAGTGAGAGTTGGAGTTTAACAGCCTTTTTTTTTGTTTTTTTGGTGTTGGGTTTTTTTTGCATTTTTTGTTGTTTTTTTTTTTCTTTTTTTTTTTTTTTTCCTGGTAATCTCATCCTTTTTCTCAAAGTCGGGTTTTCTGTTGTTGAATTTTCCTGTGCATTACCTTCCCGGGGAGAACCCGGACAGAGGAAGAGGAGGAGGGGGGGGACGACCTACCGGCCATGTCCTTATGTCGCCAACCTCTGGGTTTTTGTTTTTTTTTTTTGCTGGCCCTCCCCGATTCCCCTTCCGAGGTGGCG